AGCAGGCTCTCAAGTTTGAGTGATGATTACACTGTGCTCCGAGAAGCAGTCTGGAATCCATCCTTCCACACACAGGTGCCTGGTGCACATTCAGTAGCAGGTGTTCAGTAAATGTCTGGATGAACAAACAAATGCAGGAGGCAGGAGCCCCACTAAGAGCAAAGATCTTGGGTATCCACTCCACAGGACACAGCGTTCAGGCCCATTTACAAACACTCATCCCGAAAACACCCTGAGGTGGGTCTGGCTTCACGGGCCTGTGACTGGGGCAGTCACACAGGCCCCCACACCCTGAGGGGAGAAGGACCCTGTGGTTCGGTTAATGTTCTGCTGTCCCATAGAGAAATAATTAGTTATTTTTTTTTAGAGAAAGGTCCCACATTTTCATTTTGCACTAGGTCCCCCAAAAGAGGTAGCTGCTCTTCATGAGGTGTCCCTTGCTACCTCTCTGTGCCCCTTGTTCTTCTGCTCCCTCTGTGCCCCTCCCCTTCCCAGGGACCCAGAGTTGTCTCTAGTCCCCTTGCCTGCAGGGCCTCAGGTGTGTCCAGTTTCTGAAGGCTTCTCTTCAATTCTCCTTCATCAATACCTGTGCTCTGAAAGTATTGATAATGCAGGGAGTTAAACCCTCTCTAGCTACTATGCTGGAAAGGAGAGATCATTTTGTTTAGATTAAAGTATTAATAGCTGAGAAGACAGTGTCACCCTCAGCTCTTATCTCTAGGGTCGATAAATTTTAAAAACAAATCATTCCTTTAGAAAACATTTGGCTCCCTGATTGTAGTATTACAGATATTAACCATATGCAGTTCTTTTGGGGATCCTCCATGTATAGATATTTTGAGATGAGACAAATTTCCTATAAACCTCAAATCACACTCTTAGGGAAAAGATTTATATAATCTGAAGAGAAACATGGGGATGTAAATTACAACATAATGTATGGAGCCAATAATATTGGAATGATTATGCATGGTGTCGGGTGGGTCCTAGACCTATTGGGGAGTTACTTTGTAAGTTATATAAATGCCTAACCACCATTAGTAACCACCTGAAACTGATATAATATTGAATGTCAACTGTAATTTTAAAATAATAAATAAATAAATAAATAAATAAAATTCTGGAAGCAAGGAAAGAAAGAAGACATATATATGTCCATATGAATAGATGTTCAATAAAAAAATTATAATCTTAAGGCAACTGCTGAGCTATTTGTGAAACAGTTGTCATTCATACCAAATCACTGTTTTAAAAATTATGGTGTTGCCCTGGCTGGTGTGGCTCAGTGGATTGAGCAACAGTCTGCAAACTGAAGGGTCACCAGTTTGATTCCCGACTCGGGGCACACGCCTGTGTTGCGGGCCAGGTCCCCAGTTGGGGCCAGGCCAATCTCGCACATGTTTCTCTCCCTCTCATTCTCTTTCCTTTCCCCTCTCTCTAAAACAAATAAATAAAATCTTAAAAAAATTATGGTGTTGTTGCATTTTTAAAATTGGCAAAGCATTACCAAAGAGATATGTTTTTGTCAAATGGTTTTATAAAAAATATGTTCCAAAAGTCTGCATACTTTATCCACAATGGTCATACCTTTGAGTTAGAAATGAGAAGTCTTGATTTTCAAATAAGTCCATTCTGTCATTTTCTAAGCACCATGACCTTGGGCAAATTACTTGATGTTTTGAATTCTTTGTTTCCTTATATTAAAAAAAATAAGCCAAATAACACCTCTTTTCCCCATCGGGGTTCACTTTGGGAGTTAAAGGAGACATGTGTTTTGAAGACCATGGAAAAAGGCCATGGTTAAATACACTTCTGAGTGTGAACAGTGCTTTCTGGAATGTCTGATGACAGACCTGGAACTGAAGGCAAGGACAGACGACCACAGAGTCTAGGTTGGGAACGAAGTTTAAAGAACTGATGAAGAATGCAAAGCTGCAAGAGCAGAAAAGTGAACGTCTTTCCCTTAAACATCATGAATTAAGGACATGGTCAGTGGGGCATGACAGGAAAAGGCTGAACACAAGAAGCAAGAAGGATGGGGGAACCAGAAGTTGGATGGGGTGAGGGAAAGGAGGAAGGTTTGCTGTGTTCCTTTTCACAATAACTAGGGGCGTGCACAACAGAAGGAAGAGACAAGAAAAGGAAAATCAATGCTAATCTTGTGAAGGAAGGAAGGAAGGAAAAGGAAAAACCTTCTAAGGAAAGTTTTAGGGAGAGGATCTGTTTTGTAAACAACACCTGCTCAGAAAGAATTCATGTAGAAGGGATCTTGATTAATAAATCAGAATGAATTTGAGGCGCATACTGGCAGTGATTCAAATCTAGGGGGTTGGGAGTCCACGGGCTTCAGATTGACGGAGAATTTGGCTGTGTTTTGCAGATCCTATCAGCAGTAACAGGACAAGCCTTGTGGGAAGGCCTTGGTGGTGATGGAAGGCCAAGGCTAAATTTCTGACCATTTGCTTTAGGAAGGAAGGAGCAGATACAGGAGGCATTGTGATATGATTTTCAAAAATGTATTTGTGATTCCATTCAAAATTAGAGGACAATTTGGTAGACTTGACAAGGTAATGTGACTGGGAAGTAGAAACCAAGGTGAAGGTTAGGCTACAAAGGCAGGTGCAGGAGAGGGGAGATGGAAAGGTGAATAAGCAAGATTAAGAGTAACAAGAGCAAAAAAAAATCAACCAAAAATAAACAAACAAAAAACCACAAGGAGACAATGCCCAGTGGTTTTTAGGATGTTTTTCCAAATAGGGTCAGAGCAGGTGCTGGAGGCCAACTTGGTTCAGAGTCAGTTAAGTCAGTTCAGGTGTCTAGTGTTCATGGAGCTCCAGCATTAGCCAGCAGGAAAGCAGGGCACAGGGATATGGACTACAGTCTCTGCGGGCTTTTGGGTCCCATGCAAGCAGCCTTGTTTACAGAAGCACAAAGCAAGAGGGATCAAGGCCATTGTGGGAGCAGCCCCAGATGACAGGTTGTTGTCCCTTACGCTCTGACGAGGGCCCCTCTTCTGGGTCCCAGACTCTGGGTAGGTCCCAGAGTCTGACATGAAGTCACCATACTCTCTTCCACCTGGGTGGACAGTTCTGAATGGAAGGCAAGGGGGGTTCAGGAGACTAAGACAGCAATTGTGAGAGGAGAGGGAGAGATCATTGGAGCTGGTGTTCTCACGTACAAAAAGAAAATATTTTTGCAAGTAGTTACATATAGGGTATGGAAAGGTGGAAGTGAGGAGGGCAGAGAGAGAGAGAGAGAGAGAGAGAAAGAGAAACATAGGCTAAGTGTTCCACTAAGTTCATCACAGGTGTAATCTCATTTTAATGCCGTCACAACCCTGTGGGGTCAAGGTTATTGGTTCCAGTTTACAGATGTGTGTTCAGGTGTCTGGCTATGTATGTTGATAACAGTTGTGGCAAAGCTTGGTTTCACACTCATTATATAAAAGGCACTTTGCAGATTCTCTCAATCCTTACAACAAAAATAAGAAGTAGATGGTGTTATTACTTCCATTTTCTAAGTGAGAAAACCAAGGCATGGGGAAGTCTTACAACTCGCCCAAGGCAACATAACCAGAAAATGGCGGGAACCATGATGCAAACCCAGGCGATCTGTCCCCAGAGTCTAGTATCCTAACTGCCAGGATGAACAGCCTCTAATGAGCCACAGTTAAAATAGAGGAAAGACACACATACAAATACTGAGAAATTATTATTTAAAAGGAGACAAGGACAGATAGGAGTGGGAAGGGAAAACTTTATTCATAAAGAGGGATTTAATGTTTTATTTTTAGAGATAGGAGAAACTTTCTTCATAAGTTTAATAATAACAAAGACAATAACACAGTGAACATTTACCTAAGGCTTATTATGTGCCAGACTGTCCTAAGCGCTTTATATATATTTCCTTGAATTTTCAGAAAAATAATTTTGTCTCATTAAAATCCAAGGACCTAGCACATAGTAGGTGCTCAATAAGTATTTACTAAATGAATCTTAGAAGGCGACTCTAGTTTTACTTTTAGGAGGACCTAGGTCATAGAGCAAGAGCTCTCCATTTTCACTTCTTTACAGCTTTTACCTTTGTCTGAAATTGTCCTGTTTATTTCTTAGCTTCTTTATTATCTTCCCCCTCCCTGTTGACACATAAACTCTAGGACAGTAGAGCCCCACTCATCTGGGCCAACGCTGTACTTGCAGTGTCTGGAGCAATGCCTTGGGCATGGGAGGGGACTAATCAAAACTGTATGAATACAAGAGGAACACACAGTACTCCAGCCTCTCAGAACAACTCTTTTTCCACTGTAGCACACAGAATAGCACACTGATTTACAGCAGAGAGGTCGGCTGCTCTCGTGTGCCTTTCTCTCTGTGTCTGTTCTAAAGAAGCACCTGTTCACTTTTCCCGTCACTGACTCAATTATCCCTTTACTTAGTTGTGGAGAAAGGAAGACAAATTTCTTATAGAGATCATCACAAAGGTGATCAAAAGATCTCTATATGAAAGTGACTGTTTCACCTTACATCCACCAAGATGCCACCCAGTAAATGAAAAATGGCTCAGGTGGTATATTTTGTTGTGTGCATTTTTCACAATTAAAAAAAATGACTAAAAAGGGGGATTCTTGGTAGTGTGACATATACCTCATTTTAAAACATCAGGGTCCTAAAGTGAATGATTTGGTTAAGTCCAATGAAAATACAGACTATGTGGAAAGGAACAGGGATGCAAGACTAGGAAGGAACAGTGACCACCACAAGCGACCTGGGTTAGAGACAAGGAAGGATTAAGCATAAGCTTTTGGTTTTAGACTCTTGATGGTCAGTGCTGCAAATAACACCTTTCTGATGACTTTTTAATGCAATGCATATTCTTAAACACATTACAGAAGTCACCATAGAGATTCAGGACTTTGGAGCTTGTGACGTTTGCAAGCCAGGCTGCTCCGAGCAGGTTGTGACAGACGTCACATCCCTGTGCCCCACCCCGCAGACACTCACCGGTCTACACGAAGCTGGCAGACAATGCCCAGTGGGTCCACGACTCCTTCTTCTTTTAACTGCTGACAGCCAATGGATGTGGCAATAAAACACCCTGTTCTACCTATCCCTGCACTGAAAAGAAAGGACGAAGAATGAAAAGTTGGGAAAAAATAGCAAAGATAAAATATATTTTTTAAAATATACTTTGAAATATGAAACAGCAGCAAGGATTGATAACAAAGTGACAAGAACAGCTCTCACGGACTGAGAGTATTACAACCCCAGCTCTGTGCTAAGTGCTTAAACATATTCTTTCGTTTGGTTACATGCAGTGGGATGAGCGGGGTGGAGGGAAGTGTCCAGTGGGGAGGATAGTAAAAAGGCATTGTAACTGTCCTACAAAGAACAACCAGGGCCTTGATTTGGATAAGGAATGAGCACTGGAAAGGAGGGGAAGCACTTAGACACATCACGAGTGTGAGCTTGGAGAACTGGAGTTGAACAGTCGGAAAAGCAAAAAGTCAAAGGTGACCTAAACTGAAAGAAGGGTAGTCCCAATGCGATGAAGGTGGAATCTGGAATGAGAGCTGTTTTGAGGGAGAATTTGGTCTTGGATATATTGATGTTGAAGATTCTTGTGAATAACCGAAGATTCAATCCAGTTTAGGAGAGAGGAAATGGCTAGACCCACATATTTGTAAGTCATTTATAGTCGAATAGAAACACTGTCTGCCCAGGAGGGTTTACACATCCATCTGCTTCAGGCAGCATGTCATTGACCTAACGAGCCCTTTATCTTTCTCTCTGTCTGTCTCTCTCTTTTAGCAGCTTCAACCACTGATAGTCTTTATGTAAATTTCTCTAAAACCTACATTTATATTCCTTAAGTTTCTCCTAAACTCCAGACTGGCTTTCCATCTTAGTTGGGAATCTTGAGGTTACTGTTTTGCACTTGCTTCAGTTCAGTGCGTCCCAAACAGAATTAATTACCTTTTCCCTCGATGGCACTACCAGTCAGCCACAAGTTTCCAGCTCTGAAATCTCGGAGCCCATCACTCCCTCTGATCCCCCACATCGTATCTGTTACCAGTTCTTATGTATTTTCACCTCTACTGAGCCTTTGTGATCCATGCTTTCCTTTCTATAGACTAGGCTCACGTTTTCAACATCTCCTTAATTCATGATTTCAAAGTCTCCAGTCTTTTCAGCATCTCCTTAATTCATGGTTTCAAAGTCTCTAGTCTTTTCCTGGCCTAGTTCATGACGTAAACAGCTGCTAGGGACCTGATCACAGTACCCTCTTCTCAAAACCGTCATCGGCTCCCAGTGGTTCTAGCACCAGGTCTAAGTTCCCTGCCATGGTATCCATAACCTTGAATCATATGAATGTGAGTAACTTTCAAGCTTTATATCTTTTTTACTGTCTTCCTTGTATCCTTTGTGCCATTTTTTCATTTACATGAATAATTGCAAAAAAAAAGCCTGTGGTTTTCCAATTTTCCTTTCCATATTAATGATATTTCTTCAGTCAAAAATGCCCTCCCTACCACCTTTTAAAACCACAAATGCTGGTCATTTTTAAAGATCCCGTTCAACATTATTCCAATGTTTAAAGGCTTTCTTCAATGCTCCTGGTTGTTTTTTTCTCTCCCAAGAGAGGAAGAGAGAGAGGGAAAGAGAGAGAGAGAGAGAGAGTGAGAGAGAGAGAGAGAGAGAGCGAGAGAGAGAGAAACATTGATGTGAGAGACAAACATCAATTGGCTGCCACCTGCACATGCCCCAGCTGGGGATCAAACCCACAACCTAGGTAGGTGACCTGACAGGGAATTGAACCTGTAACTTTCAGTTTACGGGATGACATTGTTCCAACCAGCTGAGCCACACTAGCCAGGGGCATATCCTTTTGGGTTGAATTAAAAGTTCCCCTCTTGGCACTGAGATAGCATTTACTTCTCCTGTTTGGAACTTGTTTCTGTTAAATGTGAGTGTAAAAGAATTCGAAAGTAGCATGGGCCCTTTTTAGTTGAAGTGTCTATAGAACATTTGTTTCACTAAAGAGATAGGGTGTGAACTATGCCACATGAATGGCAGGCATTTTGGTTATCATGAATGAGAGAAAATGTTCCATGCATGAGAAAGGTTTAAGGAAAAAATTGCTACAGAACGGGGCACATGATATGTGACAATGAGTAGAGAATGGAAAGTTATTTTAGAGAATGGAAAGTTATTTTAGAGAAACAGTGGGAAATAAGATGGGAAGGTCCACTGAGGCTTATGAGGGTCTTATATGGAAAGAGGTTTGGACTTCATCCTCTAAAACTTCCTGTTTTTGAGAATTTGATGAAAACTAGGAAGTTTCAGTTCTTAGAAAAATTCACGTAACTTTAGGTACTCAAATTTGTGTAAGTAACTTTAAGGAATTCACTGACTCCTGTAGCTCATCCAGAGACCCAAGGTTAAGAACTTGTGCTTTAGGCAATGGGAAGCCAGTGAGAAGTTTCAAGCACAGCCTCCATGTGATGAAAGAGAGTTTTAAGCCTTATCCGAGAGGAGTGCTTTGGGTAGGCCATAGTGAGGGTGGTCATGGGGAAATGGGGTGTGTGTGTGCAATTAGCTGGCTACTTCTAAAATATGCGAGTGGGGTCATACGGGCCTGAACTTGGGTGGCTGGACAGGAAGTGATGATAATGGGAGCTTTGAAGGGAAAGCCATTCGGGTGGCTGATTAGATACTGAGGCTGGAACAAAGAGAAGGGCCAAAGACAACTGTCAACATTGGTAGCCGAGTCCCCAGAAAAAAGATGGTCTCATTCTTAGAAATACCAATTAGAAGGAGAAATACCAAGTAGTTTTATAGAGAAAGTGTCTAGTTCAATTTAGATATCATGAGTGTTTTATGATTTTGGGTGGGGGACAGTTCCAGCCCTAAGGGATGGCCAATTAAGTTGCTTTTCCTTGGCCCCAAGATAAGTTTAGGGTAATGCTTAATGCTAAAAACTGGGTAATGATGCTGTTGAGTAAGTAGACATAAATTTTAGTTTTAATTAAACCACAAAGGTTCAAAAAAGAAGGCTAAAATTATCTAAAATAAGATATTTTATTTATTAAAGATAGTATCAAGAGCTATCTTATAAGACTTATGATATTAAATGAAGCAACACAAATTACGGAATTTTGAGAAAGTATGAAGAATAAATGACTAGTGCTTGAAATCTCTTTAAAAGTACTTGGTTTAGTTTGGGCATACTAAAAGGAAAACAATGGGAATGAGGTATCAGTTATGAGAGGAGAGCTTTAAGACAGGCATTAAGGAAGAGAACCACCATGGACATCAGTTACTTTTTTTGTTTTTTTGAATCCTCACCTGAGGACATGCCCATTGATTAGAGAGTGGGGAAAGGAGGGGATGGGAGGAGAAGAGAGGGAGAGAAACATTGATGTGAGAGAGAAACATCGGTCTCTTGCCTCTCCTACACAACCCTGACTGGGGACTGAACCCATAACCTAGGCATGTGCCCTGACTAGAAATCGAACCTGTGAGCTTTCAGTCCATGGGACACAACACTCCAACCACCTGAGCCACACTGGCCCGGGCCATCTGTTGCTTTTTTTGGCCTATCCTCCAGTAACCCATGTTCTGGTAACAGCACTTTGCTTTTCTTTTGGAGAACTACCACTTGTCCACTTACCATTTCATAATTTATTTCCATCTGTTTTTCATGAAATGCATTTTTAAAAAGATTTTATTTATTCATTTTTAGAGAAAGGGGAAGGGAGAGAGAGAGAGAGAGAGAGAGAGAGAAAGAGAGAGAGAGAGAGAGAGACATCAATGAGCTGCTTGTTGCATGCCCCCAACTGAAGACCTGGCCCACAGCCCAGGGATGTGCCCTGACCAGGAATTGAACCAGTGACCTTTTGGTTGTAGGCTGGTCTGAGCCACACCAGCGAGGGCAATGAAATAACTTTTAAAATAGTTGACTGGCTTTTACCAAATGTGAAATAATAATAAATGTTACCAAGACACAATTCAAGTACAATTCCAGTACCATCTTGAAACAACAAAGAAAGCTACCAGTAATCAGAAAATCCTGTCTGTCATTCCTCGTGTATATTAGACTGATGACACTAGATGAATCACAACAAGTTTCAAGGTAGAAGCTCCTGTTCCATGAGCCATTTATTCAGAAGTGGTATTTCCTTTGCTGTGCCATTGTTTGCAAAAAATGCTCAAAATTATCACTGTAAATATCATTTTGTCCAAGACTCAAACAGCAGGAAGTTAACCAATTTCAAGAAATATTTAATTTACTGACACAGTCACACCAAGAAGTAAAACCCAACTTCTGTGTGTCTATGACTTTACAAAGGATGGACACTTTGCTCAGGTGGAAAGGACAGTTCAGGCCTTACCTGCAGTGGACGACCACAGGCCCTCGGCCTGCAGATGCAAGTCTGTCTTCTTCTACATCCAGCATGAGTTGTAGAAGGGGCTGGGCGCTGTCTGGAGTCTTGTGATCGGGCCATGAGGTGTACCAGTAATGCTTCACATGTTGGGTGTGACTTCCTTGCTGAAAATAGCAACAGCCACCAAATGCCTCATTTACTTGTGTTACTAAAAGTCATCCAAACCACAGTACTGCATGCCTTCTCTTGTTCCCATCTTACTTGCAATATTTCTAGGTGGGAAAAATATCTAAGAGATTTCTGAAGAACAACTTTTACCTTGAGAAAACTTTACTGTAACTATCCTGATATCAAAGTTTGACAGCCTCGCCTCTATTAAATGCACACAATACAATATATTGATGATGTCTTATAGAACTGTATACATAAAGCCTATATAATTTTATTAACCAATGTTACCCCAATAAGCTTAATTTAAAATTAAAAAAATAAAGCAGAAAAGATGAGAATATATTTTAGTATAGGAAGTGTACATATAAATATGCTAAATATACTAGTGTTTGTAGTTTACTGTAATGAACAAAATAGTAGATGCAAATGTAACTAAGAAAGAATTGGGAGATCATGTGTTTCCTGCTCTTTGAACATTCCTGACAGGTTACTATAAACATTTTATCCAATGTACAAACATGTAATTTTATATTCCATCAGTCTAACACTTCTATACTCATCCACAATTTCTATCTTTAAGAGCAATGAAAAATCCCAGTAGTAGAGGGTCTCTGGGTATCACTAGATTAGAAACGCTTTGAGTGAGGGTCCACGTGTGTCATCGCAAAACTCGCAGTGCTCGGTGGGGCCGTGGCGTGAACTAGCACTGAGGACACCCGTTTCAAAGCAGGTTTTGGTAAGTGCCTTGCTCTGCCCAGCTTCACCCTCGCCGCCGCCGCTGCCAGCCCTGCCTCCACCGTCCCTGCGACGACAGTGCTGCAGCACTGAGGCTCTAGATGGGACTGAAATCTTTGGGATGACTGTTCTCTAGAAGCAGAAACAATACCATGGCAACATTCCTTAGCATCTGCTGCCCGTAAATTAAATAAGATAATTTTCCTATGATGTAATCTGGCCTGGGAAAGTCCCTATAAATTACTGAAACGCCACATTTTGCAGATGTCATCGGCGCTTCGTCTGGTCTTGCCTCCCACAGCCACCCACAGGCACAGATTTGCTGTTCTCAGTTTTCAGGCCTTAAAGCTGCACAGACCAAAGTGGCGTTAAAAATAATCACGGTCAAGTCTGCAGAACAAGCATTAGTTAAAGGCTTTCAAAAAGTTAAATCAAGAGATCTCTTATTTATGCAAAGTAGAAGGTCACAGCACCCTACTTAGTGAACTTCCTTAATATCCACTCATTTAATTTAATCACTCCATATGTTAATAGTAGCTGACAACAAAGAAATACATGAGGGAATGATTATAATTTATTTCTCATCTTGACATTATTTAATTGGTTTAAATTAAATCTGTAGTACTTATTAGGACAATAATTTCAAAGTAGAAATGTTATCCTCTAATATCATCTGCTTTGTAGATAGCTACAGCCATGTAATCTTACCTTTAAGACAAGGTTTCGAACAGTGTAGTTATCACATTCATTTACACTGATAATCAGAACCTCCACTTTCCCATATATTCCTCTCTTTTCAGGCCAGTATAACACACATTTCTGATGAAAGAGAAAGACAAACACAGCAAATATTAATGATGCTCATTAGCCCTCAAGTATTTTTCAGTCAGGTATTTCAGCTTTTATTTAATTGATTAAGAAAATCAAGTATCAGGGAGAGCTGGGTGGGTGGGCTGCAATGGGAATAAAAGACAGAAAACTGTACTTGAACAACAATTAAAATTAAATAAATGAATAAATAAATAAAATCAAGTATCAATATTTATAATTCTGTAAATGTACCAAAACCACTGAATTGTACATATTAAACATGTGTTTTTTATGGCATGTAAATTACACGTCAGTAAGGTTGTTTTTTAAATAAAGTACCAATTTTTGCCCTGGCTGGTGTGGCTCTAGTGGATTGAGTGCTGGCCTGCAAACCGAAAGGTGGCCAGTTTGATCCCCAGTCAGGGCACATGCCTGGGTTGTGAGCCAGGTCCCCCCTGGTTGGGGGCGTCTGAGAGGCAACAGATTGATGTTTCTCCTCTACACTGATATTTCTCTCCCTCTCTTTCTCCCTTCCTTCTCCTCTCTCTGAAAATAAATAAATGAAATCTTAAAAAAATAAATAAAGTATTAATTTTTGCAAACACTGTGAAACACTGTTGTTACTAATCCCATATAAAAAAAATAAAGGTAGAATTTCCTGAAACTCCACAGAAAAATTAAGAACTAATTAAGAACTTAATTAGGAATTAAGAAATTAAATCCAAATATTAGAGTTTATCATGTAATGACTAGAAATAAATGTTTTCTCATGACGGTTGAAGCAAGCCACACTTCCTGCCTCATCGAGTGGCAGTGTGTACTTAGAGCACATGCAGTGCGTTAGATGCCACAGGATGGAGTTTCTCGTGTGTGTGGAGCAGACGTGATGACAATGAATGCTGTATGGCTGTATGTTTTTCAGGACCAATGGTCTTTTCACCTATGCGGTCGATTACAATAGATGTATATCAAAATTATTTTTAAGATATTTTAAAACCAAATCCTCTTTTAAGGGTTTCATACAGTAATAACAGTCATAATGTAAACAAGGCAATATAATAAAGGTGGGTAAGGTGCAAGCTTTGTGGTCAGAGAGATGGGGTTCCCATTTTAGTTCTACTACTTATTAGCTATGAATCCATAAGCAAGAGACTCAGTCTCTCTGGCCTCAGTTCCCTCACAATTTGCCATAAGGAAAGCACTTAGAACCAAGCCAGGCATATAAAAAGCATTCAAAACTTGTTGCTACTGTTTTTATTGTTGTTATATTTCACTTGAGATTTTTGTCCAAAGTGATTATCATTAATTATGCATTAGATCATGAATTCATATTATATTATTATATCTACGCTATGTTATTAAAAGCAAATTGCAAAATGAGATTCAAGCACACATGATTTTGCCTTTTAATCAACTGCAAAAGACCTATTAAATTTTTTACCACATATTTTAATGATTAAGAATGTAAAGTGTGAAAGTTGATGTTTTATTGCAAGTGCCAGGGAAGCAATGTTAACTTAGAAGTATTGTTTAAATAGCACTTATTTTCTTCCAATCACACACACACATTTATAGGGAAATCCCTTCACTCGTTGCCTTTAGTCGGGACCTGTCAGCGGTCAGGACACTTGTTTCTTCACATTTTTGCCAAAGGCACATGATCACACTTGAAAAAAGTTAAGGACTTAGAACTCAAAAGAACAGCAAAAGAATCACAGAATTACAGAACTAAAGAAAAAGATACCATAAGTGTCAGAAACACACCTCCAGGATTCTGTCGTGCTGAGCACTAATTGTTCCACAAGCCAGAGTCACGGGGAGAGTCACTTTACCTGGTTGACTCACTGTTTCTTTCCTCCCTTACAGTAAAACCACATTTGCATCCTCTATTTTCTGGTCATTTTCCAAACAAAGTAAATCACTTTTTCATCTCTGTTTACATGCCACCCCACACCCTACACTGGCAGGCAATCAGGCTAAAGGCTTACTCTGGCTGACATAACATGAAGAAAAAAAAACATTTTAAAGCAGAGCAATTTATTTCCCTCCTCATTTACGAGTTGTCAAATGTCTAAAATTTCCCCAGTTTGTTAAAGATAATCATACTAACCAATTTGCCTGGTGCCTTTCAATGGAGCATCAATTACTTTGCTGCAAGACCTGACCTATTGTATATATCTTAGAATACCTGCCTCCTGGACAAATCCAAGAAGACACAAAGAATCTTGAAAAAGGTATTGAGCAAAGAAAGAGGCATTCAGTGGTCCAGCAATATGACGTATGTGTCCCATTGTCCAGGATCAGACCTGAGCGGCAGACCCGTCTTTGGGAAGGTGGTTCTCACAACCAGCAGGAAAAGCTTCGAGGCAGGAGCTCACAGCCAGCATCCTGACTCTCAACAATACTTGGACAGGCTCGTGCACCTACTTGATAAATGGAAGTGGTCCTCGCTTCTCTCCCAAGCTTGCTGGGTCCTCTTGAATGTTTTTCTTGACTCCTTACCAAAAATTCAATTGGCAGCCAGCTCTCAGTAGACAATGCAAGATGACTTGTTCATTCAATGAACCCTTAATTAGCATCCCATCTTCTTTTGGGGATACAATAGCTTATTTTTACACACTGAATACATTTCTCCCCCTTTTAGGAGAACATAGAAAAAGAGACCAGATAAGTGTGGGTGCTTTCGAATATGAGGTAGGGGAGAGCTGCAAATGTAGTTGTTTCTCAGAGCACAAATTCCTGTTTATATTATTTTTGTGAACAGCTTTTTAGGGTTTCTCTATTGTGGTGCTAACAATGGTATGAAAGAGGCAGAAAATGCAAGGAAGGAAAATGCTCTCTCAGAGATAATATTGTGAAACTACACTAATTGTAGGTAATTCAAAACAGCATGCTATCTAGCAGAATATAACTCCAAATTATCACTATTCTTCTGTTACTAGGCTGATCCCTTCAGTAAAATCCTCTATTAACTTCAAGAATTCATGATTTGGAGGAAAAAAGAAGTTTTCAGGGGGTACTGTGCCTCTTGCAAATGAGTAATGAACAAATCCTGACTCTGAAGATTCTGGACATCGAGCAGTTCTTCATAATCAGTGGCTCATAGTAAAAGGAAAATGCAATGCAGATTCATATTTTTATGATCTTTTTATTTTCTTTGACCCTTCCTCTCACTCCTACCTTGTTAGGGCTTTTTGTATATAATGAAGAAGGAAGTCTGGCTATAGCAGTTGCCTGAAAAAATCTTTTCTAAGTTACTTTTTAAATTCTATGCATTTAAAATTAAAGATATTTTGCTCTGTGAGCTGCATAGACAGAGACGTGTACCATTGCACAGAGAGTGGGTCTAAATGAATGCAAAGAAGATGGTCAATTACATTTGGGTACGTTTAGCGCATGAGAGGGACTGAATGGGTCAGATTTCCACTGTTATTGCTACTCTCAAATATTGCTAACAGGGACAGCAATTTAATATGAAAAGTGCCTCCACAAAAAGGTCATTTAATCCCTTTCACAATCATTTGAGTTAGGCAGGGCAGGTAGCGAATATTACTATTGTTATTATATCATTGAACAACAGAGGAAACTGAAACCCAGAAGTTTTGCTAGGAGACTTTGAGACGATTTCCTGGGGGCTGGGACCCTCTGAACAAATTTCACTTCATAAATTTAATTTGTTCAATCTCTATCTATTATCTGCACATTTGTCTAAAGCTCTAGACATTTATTTCTAGCTACTTAGTAGACTTAACCATCCACAGGTCTTCAGGAGTCCTCAGACTGAACGCGTGAAAACTGGAACTCTCTTCTCTCACGAACCTTCCCTGGCTGCCCACCTAGGTTCGTGGTATCAGCCTCCACTCCGTTTCTCACCAAAAATCGAACCCTCTTTCTATTCCCTCACATTTCATTGGAAACTAAGTCCTGTGTCTTTTATCTCTGTAACAACTTTTTAATTTGTCCCCTTTTCTCAATATACTCCTCCATCATCTTAATTCTGTACCCCATTATCTGTTACCTGGATGGTTATTACAACTTTAACCTATTTCCCTTCTTCCCCTTGCTTTCCTCAAATCCAAACCTTGGATCCTGCCACCAATGATATTCCTGATATACAAATTGCATTTTGTCAATCTATTTCAAAACATCTTTAGGGGTTCCTTGCTGCCTAGGTAATGAAGACAAAGGTTTTCGTTTGTGCGTTTTTAGCACAGTCCTGTATTCTCGGGCACAACGTAACATTCCAGTCTCGTCTCCCTTCGTGCCCTGCTATTCTGTGCTCAAGCCACACCACACTGCTCAGCCCACGCAGGCCCTGCAGTTGCGGTCAGCCTCTGTGGGCTGTTGCTCCACCCACCTCATTCCCTCGTGTGCCCACTCATTCTTCGGGTCCCTGTGATAAAGCTGTAAAGCTTCGTCTGAGCTATTTGATCACATAAATGTAATAAAAGTTAATCTTTTATTTTATCAGATAGAGAAAGGATGGGAATGAAAGAGGGGAAAACATAATATGATTTTTATATGACTTTTTAAGGTTAAATGGTTTGCAAAGTGCTTACTAGGTTGATCAATGGGCTAAATGAGGTTTGGAAGTAAAGGCACATAGCTAACTCAGATGAAAGATGGAAGTGAACACGGAGAAAGACTGTGGCTGAGTATACTTGAGGGAAGTATTAGGTTGAATCACCAAGTGATTTCCTCACTTTACAAAATATAAATTTGGTAGCTTACTGCTCTCTGAGGCCAACAGTGGGTTGCTTGCTTTCTAGTGTCTTACATCATTATTTGGCTTATTTTGTTGGGGCATGGATTAAGTGCATGGATTATTAAGTGCAATATAATTAAGTGCATGAATTTCAGAATTAAACAAACCTGGATTAAAATCTGGCCTCTATCATTCACTAAGTTTGAGTCTTTAGGCAAATGGCTTATCTTCTCTGAGCTTCTGGTTTCTCATCCATCCTATAGGGACAGCAAAACCTACTTGGTAGAGTTAAAGTGAAAATGAA